TGAAGCCTTGCTCTATCATTTTTTAAAGATTTTATTTATTTACGAGAGAGAGAGCACAAGCAGGGGGGAGCGGCAGGCAGAGGGAAAAGCATGCTCCCCACTGAGCAAAAAGCCCGATGCAGGACTTGATCCCAGGAAAACTGGGATCATGACCTGAGCCGAAGGCAGATGCTTAACCTACTGAGCCACCCAGGCATCCCGTAAGCCTTGCTGTATCTTAAGCATAAAGTCATAAGTGTCTTAAAGCTCACGGTTGGGAGCAGGGTAAGGCTCGAATGCATAGGAAGGTACATTCCAAGTTACTGCCCTGGCTTGCATCAGGCTTCTCAGATGGACCCAGGAAATCTCCAGTACATGCTCACTAGCATACACTGACAGGCATGTCACAATTCGTAGGTACTTAGCCGTTATAGGGATTATCTGTGCCCCCCAGATACCTCAGGGCAAACCATTTGTTACTTCCATTTTAATCTTAGATCTGTAACGTCGATGATGTGTATCAGAACATACTATCAAAGTTTCAGATCACATGGCTCTTCTTTTAACGACACTTTTTTTTTTTTAAACAATTCACCTACTATTTGGACAATTATTCTAGATAAGGCAAACAACAGATGAGGCCTAATTAACATTTTCCTGGAGGAACATCATCAAACAACTAATCAATACTCCAAAATTTACAGCTTATACCACAACTTTTATTAGAAAAGTTATACATAACATAGCATCAACTATTTTCAAGAACAATATTAAACCCGATAAGCAACAAAACCAGACTAACAAAATGTGTTAACAAGAAACTAATGACCTTTCTATAATCAAACATTCAATTATCTACAAATGACTTTTTACAAAGGGAGAAAAATCCATGGTTTACAGGCACATATTGAAAATAAAGCTGCAATAGCAATTTTTATACACTTACCATTCTCAAGAAACTGAATCATCAAAACAGTAATTACGAGTTCACTAATTTAAAACATTTCACATAATTTAAGATTACTGGGTATACACTGAAGTCTGAGTTTCAAAAGTGATTTTTTTTTTCCACAAAAGTGCCAACACTTAAGCTAGAACTTTCAGTGTGAGTAATTTTGCCCTAAAAAGTTAAGACATGTTCTGATAATCATAACAGTCACATAATTTCTGGTGCTATCTGGTCTGTTAATAATAAAGCCTTTATTTGGATGCTTTTCTTAAATTATAGGAAACCAGATATAGATTTCTGTTGCAAAGCCATTAAAATAAAGTTCCAAACACAGGAGTGTGCAGCATTGGGAAAAGATCAGTACTAACACTTATAATAAATACCAGAGAAGCCATTAGTTATTAACAGCACTGTCTGCTTAAGGGTTAAGTCAACCAGGTGTGTAATTTCCCATCAGTCTGTCCTTTTAGTTGGCATAGCAATTTCTATTTTCATGATCTGAGTACTCAAATATATCCAAACATCTTTTTAAAACTTTGATTTAGAGCTTCTGGAAAGTTATAAACGTTTTTATATTCTACTCTAAAAAGTCTACTTCTGCTCATTTTAGAGCCTCACTAAAACAACAGATTTTAGGATAGTCAGGTTCATTAAAAAGTTTCAAATGGAATGACTTACAAAAGAACACTTTATACCAAGCCCTATCATTTTGTAGCCGAAGGGGTTGAGTTACAGCACAGTTTCACACACCCTCTTG